GAAATTTAGAACATGCCATATGTCGAATGATTTACAGTAGCTTGGCATGCGTGGGAGTTGACTTTTTATAGGGAATTAGGCGGATGGGACAAATTACTGCGCCGATATTTCGTAAAAATAGCTTGATTGCTTTCAACATACATAATCCGACCTGTGCAAGTAGGTAGACATGCGTAGGTGAGCACGAATATTATAATTAGAGGAATAGAGGCAGTAATACGTGTTTTATAGTAATTCATGAATATATCGGCTATGTGCCAGAAATCTGGCGATTGAAGTTCGAAATCCGTGTTTGCCTCTCCTTTCAGCCACGTGTCTAGTATGCCATTAGAGACGCTCGTGAATTTTAGTACGCCTCTTATTGCGAAAGGGTTAATTTTTAAGACCTCGGAAAGTTGGACGTCGCAAAATTGGCCTCTTTATGTCTGCAGAGTGTGCTTATATGCGGGAATAGGTTTACCTGTTCACACCGTTATATGTGAGCACAAGTGACATTGCAATCATTATTAATTTGCTGAGTTTGATGTTGTGATGCGAAAGGCGAGCTCTTCTGATTCTTCGATTCAAACTGGTAATTACCGACCGTATTGCATTCCAAGTAAAGCGAAATGTTACTCGTATTGGTTTTCCGAGAGTGAGAGGTACGTAAAGTAGTACGTAGCAGGCGGTAATAATGCAATAAATGGCAATTACTGATGCCAGTATTGCACCTGTTGGCCAGCATTCGGTATTGAAAATTGGATCCGCACAGGTGTTCGCAGAATGTTGTCGTGGGACATGTTGTTTCAATAATATCGATTGATTGATTATCAGCAAGTAAGCTTCCATTGAATCTTGTGTTCGCGAAGAATTCTATGCGGTGAAAAACTGACTATCTCGTTAAATTCTGGTGTTTCTAACGTTTTACAGTAACCGTATGCACGTACCTGGTTAGGAGTGTTGCCAGGTGAAGTGAGTTGTATTCCTTCTTTGATGCACTTTATATGGCGGAAGTTAGCATGCCATTTCGAATTTGCTGCTGAGCATTGTCCCAGAAGAGCTAATAGGAATAGGATGTTAAGGATCAGTGAAATATTTGGAGTTGCTGCTAATGGGGGATTGAGAAGCTTGTTATAATCGATTCGTTTCTGGCGTCTTAAATTATATGTACCTGTTGGCTTTCTGGGAGTTGTTTCTGTTACTTCTGCTGTGTTGTTTTCTTCCATTGGTAATTCGTGTTCTTTTGTTGGCTGTGGCGATCTTGACTCGATTTGCTGGTCGCTTCGTGTTTGCTGTAATGAAGGTTCATCTAATTCCAATGGAGTTAAAAGATTGAGTGGTCGGCGAATTAGACGGTGTTATGGTAGTAGAACAACTGATTCCCGTGCGATACCTTGTGAGTTCTTGACGAGCGCTTTAATTCTTTCCATCTTCCACGAAGATCGAGGCTGGGCCGGGTCGTTGATTAATACTAGATTATCCTCTTTAGGCGTATATTTCGAGCTTCTTTGTGTGGAATTACTCCGATGCTTTTTCCGCAGTGATGTTAGGTAGTGAGATTTCCAAATTGTCCAAAATTTTCCTGTCAATTGGTAGGGTAATTTTAAAGCCTTGATGACTTGTTCTTTTGTTCGTAGTGCAATTTTCTCTTCTGATGGAAGATAGGAGGGGTCGCATGTTTCGTTGGCAATCTCATCTAGTGGAGAAAAAATTTCGAAGTTTTCTTGAAGGAAGTTGATAGGTCGAAGCGTTTCTTCTCGTACCGATTGTGATTCTACATATAACAGTGGCCTCGTATTAAGGAGTAATTCGATTTCTATTATTACCGTTGTTAACTGCTCCGTTGAGAGTTTTGCGGTTCCATGAGCTTTGTACAAGAGTGTTTTACTGATATGATGAGTCTTTCGTAAAAGCCCCCTTGCCATGAGGCGAATGGAGTAATATATTTCCACTGTATTTCATGGTTCGCAAGTGTACGTTTTACTTCTGGATCATTTTGGATGGATTTGAGGCTTTCATTGAGAATGGTTTTCGCTAGTACAAATGTTGGAGCGTTGTCACTTGTAATTGATGCGGGCGTTCCTCGTCTGGCGAGGAATCGGCGTAGGAACATGAGGAATGAGGTAGCTGTGAGGTCAGAGACGATGTCGTGATGTATTAGTCTCGTCGCCATGAACGTTATTATTGCTCGATAACATTTACTTTCGGGAGAATCCGATTGAATAATTGAGCCAAAATAGTCGAGACCAATGTGCTTGAAAGGTCGTGATTTATGAACTCTATGGTTAGGTAAGTCGCTTTTTTCTGGATATTTGTTTTGTGCGTAACTAGCTCTGAAATGCTTCTTCGAAGTCATCGACGGTTACAACAAGGTTGTCCACGTACAAGTTGTGCCTTAGTTGCGATATTAATTCTGCTTCTTCTTTGTGTTGACCAAGATGAAAATGCATCGTTCCGGCCAAAAGAAATGATGTGATTAGTCCGAAAATCACTTTGGTGAATCGTAGGGTTTTAATGTTGTTCAGAAATGGTGGTGACCTGTGATCATGTAGCCAAAGGCATCACGTGCCATCGCGATCGCTCTCATGGAGTCGGACTTGCAGAAAGACCTTTCAACATCTGATGTAATCGCGATTCGTCCGATTTTAAAGCGAAGGAGGATTCCGGACAATTGTGAGAGGATCACTGGTCCTCTGTGTAAGACGTCGTTGAGTGATGGGCATCCCTTGTAGTGAGCTGATGCGTCATGAACTATTCTGATCTTAGTGGTATTTTTATTGGGAGTTAAGACTGCTTGGTGAAGAATGTAATTAACTTGAGAGCTTTGTAGGGTTTCCTGTTCGTTGATTTATTCTAGGATGTGCAGGCTGAGCTGTTCTTCGAATATGCCATCGTACCTGTCGAGCAGATCTTTGTTGTTTTGCAGGGATTTCCAAACACATACGAGTCTATTGAGTGCAATTGCTCTATTATTAGGTAGTGATACTTGTACGTCTTTGCAAGGTAGACGAATGCGATATCCGTCTGATCTTTTCTCAATGGTTTTGTTGAAGGTTTCCCATACTTGCTGATCTGTCAGCGCTTTTTCCACTTTTTCGGAGTTCGTGAATTCTTCTGTTCTGGCAGACTCGAGGGTCCAAATTTGTTCCCATTTGACTGCTTCGTCTTCACCTGTTTCTGATTCTTCATTAAGGTAAGCATGGACTTGACATTCCAATGTCCGATGCTGATTGCACTTATTCATTTCATCTTCATCGACTTGCACGTCTAGCGCCCAGTATTGGTCCCATCTGTCTAGTTCATCTTTGAAATCCTGTATGGGCAATGTGTTTCCTTCCTTGCTTTGTTGTACTTGTAACAACACGTTATCGTCTTCTTTTTGTAGCGAATGAGGACTTTTGAGTTGTCCTGTACATAAATGACCCACACGCGTTGGTATAAGATGTAGCCCGGGTGGTAGTTCAATGAGCGGTTTATCGTATCTCATCAGGGTCCGTAGTTGGTCGCATCCGAGTAGAATGGAAGGTTGGATCACGGACCTTATTTTATTTATTTCAATTTGGAGGTTGTTTTTTACAATGAAGTCTGTGTCTTATAGAGAAATTGATGGCGGTTTGAATGGCTTGGTTATCGCGTTATGAGTGAACAAGAATAATGATATTTGATGGCCGTCCGTGTCCCACACCTGTAGTGGGACTTTCGTGAAATGCGTTCTTGCACATTGTTTGAACTGAATGTGTTTAGTCGTTGTTTAATTTGTTCTATCGTCGGTAGATAGAGCTTTTGTGCAAGTTTCTCGTCTATAAAGGATAACTCGGCTCCCGTGTCCAGTAAGACGGAAACTTTCTCTAATTGTTTTGTGGTTGGGTTCATTATAGTCAATTCCCCTGTGGGTAGGAAAGTTCACTGCAGTTTTGTGCTGGATTTCGTCGAAATTTTGTCTTTGACCGGTGTCTCTTGTCCGATGTGGTTTATTTTGGACGTAGAAGTGGCCTTTTTATGCTCTTTCTCATTATGTTTACTTACGTTGGCCTCGTTTTTGGCGTTCGCATTCTTCGTAGGTGTCGCGAACGTCTTCTCGTTTGGTGTTGGAAAGAAACAGCATGATGTATGATGACGTTTTGGGCACTTACGGCATGACGACCCGTTGCACTGAACTGTGCTGTGGGATGGGAAGGCGTAAATATTGCATAGCTTATTATTTTGAAGGCAATGGTATCTTCTTTGAGTTGTTTCTTGTTTACTACAATAAAAAGGCTTATGGTTGCCTTTACAATACATGCACAAGAGCTTTGTTGTCTGTGATTTCCAATGTTTGACCTTCTTGTCGAAGCTAATTGTATATCGAGAGGGTGTTAAGCTGGTCTGGCGACATTAGTTCCTCGCTGGTTATAACCTCTTCGATATATTTTAGAACCTGTTGCATGGTGAAGGGTTCGTCAGGAGAAGTGATCTTTTTGTGAAAAACTTTACGCTGGTTCCTGACTGGAAATTTCGAAAACGCCTTTTGATATGTGGACTGATTGTCGATATTTTCACGTTTTTGCACTAATTGGCCTATAACGGTGTCTGTCTTCGATTAGCCTGCGTTGCTCTTGTATGGACGTGAGTGAAGGGAGATTTTGTCCATTTTTCTGAGGAGCTTGCGAATAAGTTCTTCAGAATTACCCTACTTATTAGTAAGAAATTCTGTGGCTTTTGCATAGTTTTGCCTAGTGAGTTGGAACTTCTTCATCAATTGTAGAGGTTCCCTTTTAAGGAGTTAAGCAGGCAATTGAATTTTTGTAGTTCGAAAAGATTTTGTGAATGTCAGTTTAAGTTGAAAAGCTCGCAAGAGTTATCCCAGTCCCATATGTTGCCGTTGAATGTTGGGATTGGATTGTAGGTAGGTCCAGGTTTTTCGCGACCGCGGTGATGGTGGATTCATCTTTTCCAGTGTTCGTAGTGGAGGGTTTGTGGGATGTGTTGAGAAGTTCAGCGTAAGCCTTGAAGCCATAGATCCGAGCATGAAGGAGAACGAGTTATTCGAACGTATTGCCTATCGCTTTCTCGGCGGCACTCGAATGTTGTGCGAACTCGTTTTCGCTATTTGGTAGCGTCGGATGTGTCTTTTCGAATATGGTAGCGAGTTCGTCCAGTGCGCGTTGAATCTTTATGGTCATGTTTTTTAGGGCTGCCACTCCTTCTTCTAACTGCCGTAGTCTCGTACGAATGACGGTGGGCGTTAACTCATCTTGCAGGTTTTGAATACTGATGTCTTCTAACTGTGCATCTTTGAAGCACGTTAGAACTTTTTGTAATTGGTTAGTATACTGCGTAAGTGTACGTTTTTGACTGGCCAATGTTAAGTTGGACATGATTATAAAGTTAACGTACTTGGTTGCGGCTTGCTTGATCTGACGGATCCGTTTAAGCGTCCACTGCACCAAAATACTTGTTGCGGCGGTGAGATCCCATCTTTATATAAATACCAAGTCGTCGAAGATATTAGTCCTTGTAGCTGCCACGCAGGACTTTTTCCTTAACTGTCGTGAATAACCTCAAGTTTGGGTTACAATAGTTTATGGTAATGACAACTGTGCAGTAATAATATCTGGTATGTGGCGATATGTGGTTAAGTGGGTATATACGAGCGGGATTAAAATGACAACAAGCGATGCAGTTGAAGGAAGTTAGGTGGACACTGGAGTTGGAGCACTGAGGAACTGAGAGATTGGATGAACACCGGACGAACGCTACAAACGCTTGAAGACGAAGCCACGCGGGCTGCTTGTATTCCTTCTGTAGTGAGTGGAGCCTTGCCAGAGGGAACTAAAGACAGTGGCTAGAGAGAGCTTCTAAAGGTTTTTTCTACTAGCACAATCTGATAGAGCTACATGTGAAAGGGCGCAGCTTCTTGTTCGGAAACTTCTTTGGGACGGCAGATGCTGGAAAGTACATTCAGCTAACTGCTTCTGATTCAGTGCTCGAACTGCCGGATGAGATAGTGGCTAAGAGGCAATTAAGAGAAGATGCGAAGATAGATTTAAGATAGTTACAGGTGAACAAGAAACACACATCAATACAGAAAATTAGGAATAAGGTCACCGGAAGCAGTATTTTAAGTGTTTTACATAGAGAACATTCCAATGTTCTTGATGAATGTTCTCTATAGGAGTCGCATGACTCGTATGGAAGTCGAACGCCCTATCACTAAATGATTGACCAACTCCTATGAGTTTTTGTTGAGTCAATCGAGAACTGCTTTTTCAGTGTTCTAATGTTTTCATATTGTTTGCCCAGTGACATTTTCATGGTGTTTCCTTATGCAGAATACATTTTCTTAGCGAATTTTTGAAGGAGATAAGGTATGGGACGGGCGGGACTTTTTCATTTTTTATTCAGAGCGTTGGATTCGTTTCCCCATTAATATACTTTTTATTTATTAGTGTTGATGTTAGTTTCCAATAGAAACCAATTTTTCTGAAATAATTTTGCTTGTTCTTTTTTCTCTCTTTCTTTTTCTGGTCTTTCCATTTGGACATATTTTGATGCATCTTAACCATAATAAAATACGCCATTAACAGAAATGCATAGGCTGGTCACTATAGTATAACTATCTGCTTCGACAATTTTCTAGTCAAATAATTTGTCTAGTCAACAGAGCACCGTATCCTCGATAGAGAATTCCACCCAGGACTCGTGTACTCAATGTAAAGTATTTGTTACATCGACAATTTGTCTATCGATCGATCTCACTATTCTCTATATCATCAATGGAGAATTCTACTTAGGACCCTATGTATTCAATACGAAATTTAACTAATTCGTGTCATATTCCTGTATCCGGTGGTGCTGCGTTATGTTTATCGAGTCCGATACGGTAATTCAAAATGGGCGGTGCTGCTTGCAACGCGCCATCCGGCACTTCGACTTGGTCCATATGAAAGCAGCCAGCAGATTTCCGCAACATGTTCGTGTATTCTTCCGTTGACACGGTGTCATCTCACTAAAGAATCCTAAGGACTAAATTTCATATGAACTAACAATTTCAGTGGCACTTAGTATTTTTCTTGCTTAATTGTAGTAGTTGCATACGATATATTTCAAAAAGAGGTTTGCAAAAACACTTTGAAATGCTCTTTTCCCTATCAAAAGTAATTGGAGTTTGTCGACAGCAAATTATTGTTACTCTTCTTACAATTATGCCTACACTCTTATAACGGGTGCCCTTTTGCAATGTGCTCCGTAACCTGGTGCTCAAACATCTCTTTCCTGTATATCATATTAACACCGTATAAGCGTTTTAGCGGACAATGTTATGTCGTTTCCGCTTTTCCACATAGTTTTCTCTTTAGTTCCTGATGAATCGATTTATTAATTCTTCTGATTGTACATAAGAATTAGTGGAAAACGTTGCCTTTTGTCGAGTGCGAAAATCTTTGAAGCCGTTGGTTTTTTGGTATTAAGAGATTCTAGACTATTTTGTCGTTATGCGCTTCAAAGTTTTCATCCCGGACAGCCTTCTAAGTGCTAATGCTTAATCTGCTTTGCTGTCCTATTATGGACTGGCATTCCAAATGGCGATAACTGACGACGAATTCACAACAATTTGTCGTTTTCACTCCATTCGTCAACCCCTACAACCCGTTTGTTGTTCAGCTGACATCTGCATGTCAGACATTTTTCGATGTTTCGATCGATTTCTATGATTAGTATGGGTGGTTCGTCAACAACAATAGTTCAGTTTATCTCCTAATGTCATACGCGTTTCGAAGGGGCCGGAATGTGCCTCGGACACTGTTCATGTTTCATCCACATTTCTGTTTCAACTGATTTTTGGCTATGTGGAGAGTTACACTTAAAAGAATTCTTAATTTTTCATCGAGTACAGTAACAAAGAGAGGGCATGAAACTTTATGAAAAGGCGATCACAATTTTAGCGCAGTTTCTTCAAAGAACTTCCTCTCTTACTCGATACGGCACATAAAGTTTTTCGATGGATTTTCTATTACATATAAGCTTCTTCAATATGAATCTTTTAGCACTAAAATATGTTTTTGCCGAATTCGTGACGAGCATATATTTCACAGCTTCCGTCAATTGGGCTACCTCAACAGCAGCTTTCAACTAGTTTGCAGTCTAACTCAATGGACACCAATACTAGATGCTATTGGAAAAACAGAACTGATGAGGTATCCGTGAAACTAAACGTTTTCTACTTCGAATGACTTGAGAAAAACCAAAGATCTTGTGACCAATTTGTGTTTACGGAGCAGATTTTTCCTTGCTATAATGAGATAAAAGCCGAGACGTCATTTCGATAGGCCTCTAACAATGCGTTTAATGGAATCTATGCGGGATCAAAGTAATTCCGGACTTTCTAGAGATCCAGAAAGTTCGAAAACTTATGTGTTTCAAGATAGATCTAGGTTTTTACATGGCCACTCGCCGCAAAATGATGTTAACCAGAGTTTTGCTCTTGAAAATTCTTCAGAAGCTTAAAAACCGTTTTATGATGTGTTTTTCACCGAGGTAGTGAGTAGGAGAAGATATGCTTGTCGGATCGACTATGCAGTTTCTATGGAACTGTGCAAAAATAAAGCGTTTTTTTCCCGATCGTTACGGGGTTTTTCTTTCATTTGCAACAGCTGAATGCTTCTTTATCGTTCGGCCTCCTTAATGAGTTTGGCTGACGTAGCTGGTCTCCTCTTCAAAAGATGCAGCTTATTCTTTCCACCTAAAGGCGCGACGATGTGTTTTGGCCAGAACTTTGCCATAATGTAATCTCAGTCAGCGACTTTTTTTCTCTGTTTTTCATCGTCTGTCTTTCCTCTACTACCTGCTGAGAGATTTAGCTAGTCATAAATAATTTCATTCCTGAAGGCAGATTAATTGAGGATAATTCGAAGTTACAGTGCTCAGAAAGGTCTGTGTTCCACTAATTAGTTTAGCTTTGAACTACTTATTGTTCAGCTGTTCAGATGAGTTTTCAGTTACGAGGAGACAGATATTTCCTTGAATGAAGCTTTAGTAATAGGAAAAGATGCTGAACGACATTTATTATATTCAAAAAGAAAGACTGCTTCTTCACTAAGTTAGAGGTCGATATTCATCTACTCTAATTGTTATTTAAAGTGCTACAGTGTCTTCTTTAGTTTAAAATGTTCTGCCGAAAAAATCTATCAAATACTTCTTAGTTTTATTCACTTATGAATATTGATGATCGTTCTATGGATTGCTCATCCACCATCCTCGGATAGCTACCATAATGCTTATGATAATGGTGAATTACGACGCTTAACCGACTCTAATTCATAAAGTGCATCAGAATAATCTGATGACGTACATCGAAATCCTACCGGTAACATCCATCTTATAAGTGTCAGTTCTTTCCGTTATCTTCGGAAGTTTCAGACTTCAACTTAGCTACACAAGTAGTTGTAAAGTAAGCGTCCCACTCTCTGAGTCAGCTGTTTTCCATGACATGGTTACGTTCAGTCGATCGTTCTTCACCACCGGTAATCGTGTTGATCCGTCGGTTGACGGCGTTTGCTTGTTTATACATCTGATGGATCTTCTTACACATCATTCTATTTTACCTCTACTCCAGCATTGATCTATAATTAAACCGTAAGCAACTCGTCCAGAAAAATCATCATTTTTCGAAGTCGATGGCTATAGATTGTAATATTAAAGTGTATGTGTATGTATAAACCTGGTAATATCCTTTATTAACAATAGTGATAATCTATAGTAATAGCAGTCTAGTCATAGTCTAATGTTGTTTTCTGTATGGACATAGGCTTTTGTCATTGGGAAAACTACAAGTTTCAATATAAGAAGAAAAGTTTTAATTTATTATTTACTGCCTACTCTTTTTAATGGTAGTGTATATTGCGAAATACATCTTCAATGATGCTGAGATATTTGCAAAACTCCGGACTGCAGGTGTCTGTGGTGAGGAACGAACGCGCTATTGTCCTTACCGGGGAATGGCGCACTTCACCACCACACCATGCTGATCCTTCATCTCGCCTATCTCTCAGCTAGTTCTATCGATCTCTGCCATCAGCAATCACCTGTCAAAGAGAAAAGTGGTTCTCATAGGGAAATTTTACAGAGTAACTCTGCGAAACGATCGTTTTCCATACTCATCTTTTTAAGTGTGTTTACAAAAATAACGAGCTCGAATGCTTAATTTTCTCATCATCTTTTAGGAAGTTTTCATATTTTTTTCTGAGGGAAGTTTCGATGGTCTGATATCACTCTTTGTGCAGGCCACCGCTTTCTTGAAAACCGATTAACAACTATAGCATAGATGTCTTCTGTGAAATCCCCTCATCTATGCGGATAGCGTCGAAGAAGATTTCGAAGAAGAAGAAGATATCAATGGAAATAGTTGAGAGACAGGCGAAACGAAGGACCCGCATGTTGTGGTGGTGAACGCATTACTCCCCGGAAAAGACAATAGTGCGTTCGTTCCCCACCATAGACACCTGCGGTCCAGAGTTTCGCAAATATCTCAGCAACGTTGTGGTTGTATTTCGCTTAGTACCCTGCCGCGAAATTATAATAGGCAGAAAATAAAAAAGGTATAAAATTGAAGAAAATTTTTCTTTAACGTAATCAGCTTTTGTTTGGGATTTCCTTTGTGCAGTCGTTGTCTGAAGAGAAGTAACGTCGAGAATTCATGTCTCTCACGGCTTCCATTAGTGCTAGTTACTTTTCTATTATTCTTTACTGGCTTATAAGTATTTCAGAAAGTTGAGACTAAATTAGCCCAAAAGTTGGACTAGTTTTTTGCTTGTTTCTGAAAATGCAAGTCAAAACAAGATGTTTAGAGACTGAGTGCTTAAACTAGGCCTTCGCTTAAGCCAGAGCTCCTCACCACAGGTTTAAGCAACAGAATTCTGTTCTCAATTTAAATTCAGCATCTGTAATCAAAATTCTTGATTTTCTGGAGACCTCCAGAAGACAGAAACTTCGACCTTTTCTTTCTCTTTCCTTCATGCCGATTTTTCCGACTTCATTTCGCTGTTCTTCTGGTAGTTTTTGCATTTCATTTCTACAGAAACTTCCATTATCTCTTCGGACTTACAAATGAGTCTGGTAAACGACTATCTGATGTTTCGTCTCCTTATGGAGCAAGACGAACAGCGGAAAGGTCAGCGTCGAACGTCGTTACGACCACAATCTCGTCGTGATTCACTTTTAACACCAAGGGTTTCGATCTCGGAGGGTATGTCGTTTTCTTATTGGTCAGCTAATCCTCTAATGTAGGTTGTGTAATTGTAATTGTGCAAAGCAGTTGTGTAGGTGTGTGGGTGTGTGTGTGCACTTTTTTTCAAATAAAGATTACCATGTTTGTGGAATATAAGCAACTTCCGACGTTTCCTCCTCATCATGTCTCTCGCCTCTTTGTCCACTTTTAGTGCAGCACATTTGTTTACGTTGAAAGTGAATAGAGAGCGAAAATTGTTTGAACATAGAGTGAACGACAAAGCCTGGGCAAATAGTAGCTTTCTTATGTTTTCAACAGCTCTTCACTTTTAAGTGACTTTGGCTTTCCACAGCATTGTATTGTTTTCCTCTTTCCAGTGCGACTGTTCCATGACGATGGAGAACTATGAGTATAAATTCAACAGCTTTTACGCAAGTCTTGGCGCATATGAAAATCGTCGAGATTGTGGAGTTCTCTAATCTACTTGATGCTGAGAATCTGAACTTTTTTGAATACACAATATATTCTCGTGGTATATAGGACTGCCAGGCATAATAAGATTGCTCACGAGGAAAGTGCAGTTGTTGTGTAATTCTTAGGGAACACGAACATGACCTTTTCTCCCTAACATTTCTCATTCGACAAATAAATTAAAGCCGTAAACTGAGAAACCGCACTTTTAGGGAGTACTATTATGTATAAGAGGAAAGAGGAAACTGACCATACAACGAAATGAGCATTTAAAACTCGACTTATATTGTGAGATTGTGTGAAAAAAGTTACTACTTTCGGTGTAAATCAATTCATATCCTTTGTACAAGGGATTTTTATCAATACTTTTGAAGACTGCATGAGTTCTGTCCAAAACTCCTTAAAAACCATAGTTTTTTTAAAAAATATTTGGCTGGTTATATGAAATAATTGAGGGTATCGGCGAGTATTTTTATCTTTTCTGCACTTTGAAAGAAACTTCCTTTGAAGAGCCATATCTCAATTTGGTTTTGTTCAATACTAGTGGTCCTTTGAATCCCATCTCAATCCTCTGTTTTCCTAATCTTGAGATCCGCTGCTTTCAGAACCGTTCTGTTCGCCGATCGTGCCACATATTCCGATCAGACAACGATTATCGTCTCGACGATGTACAAGTGGTGAGTAACTGAAAGAACTTTGGTCTTAAGTGCTTGAATGCATTAAAGGCTATGAGGTTGTCTATTCTTCCATTTTGCTGAAAATCTGATCGACATTGAATGAAAACGGAGGCTGAATTAGCTCGGCGATTAGGAGAATATCGTCATCTCAACAGAGGTGATGCATTATCCCCATCATAGGATTGTTATAATGGCCTGGGATAATGCATTCCATAGAAAGTGGATCTTATGGCGGAGCTCAAGGAAGTTTTTTTTCTCATGAAAGCAAGCTTTTTGCAAAGGTTAGTACTAGAATTAAAGCGGAAGAATGGGTTACCATACATTTACCCACATAAGTTCATTTGAGTTTGTGGTCATATTTATTGATAGATATTTAGTTCCATAATTCATGTTGCTGAATTCTAATTATGAACAACTTGTCACCACTCAGATTTTGTTTAATGGAGAACATCTTATGGTTCATAGTACGAGGATACTAGCATTTTTAGGAGACAATTTTACTTTATTATATTATTGGGTTGTGGTTATCGATGCTTTGTAAGAAAAAGAAGTATCGTTGTTTCCTCTTGTTGTTGTTTCTCGTAGTTGTTGTTGCTGTTCTTGTTGCTGTTGTTGCTGTCATTGTTGCAGTTGCATTCACATCAACAACAGCAACAATCAAAAATGTTCACGGAAACAATAGCAAAGGAAAAACAGCTAATGATGTACTCGTCCACAAACCCGAAAGCGTCATAAATTGTCTCCACTAAGTGGTGGTTCTGATTAGGTTCATCAAGTGATGAACAAATTTGCCGACTATGAGGCATCACTATTCTCAGTAAGTTAATTTAATTATAAAGAGTGGCGTGAGATTATGGAGCTATCTAATATTGTCGTAACTCCAGAATCAGATCATTTCAAACGCTTGCATAATTTTTCCTCTTTTTTGAACTAAAAAGTAGAAGGAGCGGGTCCGGTCTCCCATGGCCGACTCCCTTGGTGTTGTTTGCCATCTTAAGACACAAGACCTTGACGTGTGTTATGGATGGGAGAAACGGCTTAGCACTTAATAGTATTGTACTTCTAAGTATAATAGTGGGTTAAGTATGCGATTATTGAAATATCAAAGGCACCACTATGCTATTAAGAGCACGAATGGTTGAATGTTCTGTTAATAATATTCTAAGCATTATGTATAACTTTTTGGCTACTGTGCATTATTTTTTCGTGACCAGATGTCATGTGAAATGCAACCACAATTATGCCGAGATATTTTCAAAACTAAGACACCAGGCGAGTTTGGAATCTAGCCTAGAGTCCGAGTTTTATAAAGATCTAGCATCTTTGTGATTCTATTCTAAGTATATTAGTACATCAAATGTACTGTTATTAATACTTTAAGCGCGCAGTTATCCCATCATTGCTATCTTGAATAAAAAAGGATAAAGCTTTCGGCGTTGATCAATCCCTAAGGGATGCGCCATGCATTCGGCTTCATTAAGCATGGTTTGGAGGTGATAAAATGCATATCAGGCCTTTCTAATGACTCGCGTTGGCCTACCGATGTTTTGAGCCAGTGCTGCTGTCCTCCCAGACAAGTTTGGTGTCAACTTGCCCACCCTGGAGGGTTGAAAGGCTTGGTGGGCCATGGGCGCGGGGATTAATCCCACGTGTGTGTTTCAGGACGCCTCCAACCACTGCGCCTTGAGTAAACTTCTAAGATAAACAGATATGTAACATTTCTTTGTTAAAGCACAAAGTATTCAACATGCCCTTCTAAGAACACACAAAGTTTTGATAATTTCTCTATCGCGTGTGTTGTAAACACACGCTTTTATCATCTCCTGTTCAATGAATGAGGACATCGTTTACTATAAAATTTTGACAAACGCTGTGAACTAAGTATTTATTTCTTAACAATACCAATGAACAGCATTATTGTTCAAATTGAAAGTACACTCTCGTTGTAGTGGATATCGTTGATGTAGCACCGGTTGTTGGACAGTTCGCCTGTCAGGTGTATGGTCAAGGGCGACGACGACGGATGAGCTTGCTTCAGACACTACGACAGCAGAATCGTCAATTAAACGACAGCGGACTGGAAATTCATCGACAAAGAACTGATAGCGAAAGTACGATTAGAGGTGAACGATAAGCCAAATATTCGACTAGTTTAATTAAATCCATAAGGTCAAAGTGCTACTAGAGAAAGGTTGTTTAAAATTATCCCTTATTATAATATTAAAGCTTTATTACATGTAATTATAAATATTAATACCGTAAAGAAAGGCTCCCTATTAATAGCATTCGTGATTACGCTTGTTACGATGTCAACTGAAATTATTATTATTACAGTTCATTTGAGTAGAAGAAGAACTCCACCGTGATGAATTTAGGCAGAAAATATAGTGATGAAAGCAATCATGAGAAGTCTAATGTCGAAAAGATAAAAATTGACTTTGAGCAGAGAATAGCTCTAGATGGTTGTCGCTTGCCATATATTTTGTCTAGATCTTCAAAAATTTGCAATTTCATGAAAGGGCTATAGTTTAGCTTCGAGAATTCGCAGTCACCATGGCCTCCGACTTTAGGCTTTGGCAAACACGTGCTTGATAATCTTCACATGAACATTTTATGCATAGTCTTTTGCTTTTTTTTTCACTCTTCCATTCTCGGTACAGCCATGAAATTCTCAACGACATGAAAATCTGGTGCTGGTGGCCGAACAAGATCATCATAGGGTAGACGACGAGTCCTTTTAGCTAGAGAAAAATTGCCTAATTAACGAGAAAAGTTCTGATGACCTATAGTTTTTGATGAGAAATGACCCATTTTTTTTAGCTTTAACACTTTTCGTTTGTAATGTACAGTAGCACTTCAAGCTGTTTATAGTAGTGAGATTAGTTAAGGACCAACTTTAACACCTCTCCGTTTGCTCTCCGATGTCATTGAGTTCTTGTTTATAGATACGTACTCTCCGCCGAATAAATCACCACCTCTATCGATGCTGTCACCATCGAAGAAGACATTCACTAGTCTGAAATCGAAGTATGTTCATATGTTGTACATTATAATATTGCCATAGAAATGTGCATCACAATGTCTAATTGACCAATAAGAAGTTTACAGTATCTCTAAGAATAAGATGGGCAAATTCTTTCCATCGTGTACACTCCAATTATTGACTTTCTGCGACGTGATCGTCGCCATTCTTGACAACTAATTTCTTCATCTACGGCATCCAATCGCTCCACAGCTGTTTTTCTAAGGTTCCCTAGCGAAAAGGTAAAAAATAAGGAGAAATGCCGTTACCACCATCGATTTGTTACAGCAACACGTAAATCATATTTTAAAATGTCCATAACGAGGGTCCGGTAGCACACTTTGCATTCGCATCGCTCAAGAAGTTCCGTGAAGTGAAATTCGCAAAATGTCCAAGCATGAAGGTCAATATGAAGCAGTAGAGCAAAAAAGTGAACTTCAGAATTCAAATCATGACATCAGGTGTCTATTGTTTGCTTTTTCTACTCTAAGTGGTTGTTACTTCTAATTTGGCTTTTTTTCTTTATGTTTTTGAGATTGTCTACCCGATGTCACTGTGATAAAATTGCCGCTATCAAACTGTAATCCTTTGTTAAAACGTTCTGCTATCGTTTGGAAAAACCGATCCAGCCGTGGTCAAACGATCTCGGGAGATAAGAAGACCGGCTGACTTCGTTTGGGCAGAAACGTGAAAGCCTTGAATGGAAATTTCAAATCTTTTCTTATAGATCTTATTAGCTCAAGAAGTATTAACTGGTAAGGATGGTGCTCAACAATATTCAGCCAATATCTTATTTTAATTTTCATGAAAAAAATTAGCTGTGGACAATTCGGTTTTCATGGTCGTCAGAAATATTAAGCTTCTCACTGGCCAATTTCGAAAAATGAGAACTCTCTCCAAGGATATTCCTAAGCAGTGTTTTAAAGAAAATTGAAATTCCGTCTTCAGAATGTCTGAGGGAAATCACAGCTGTAACTACTGCTAAATTGAAGGGTCAAAAAGATCTACTTTTACATAGCCCAAATTCCATAGGTGTTTTGTTTTATGGCTAGCTTGATAGTTTCTGAAATCTGTCCATTTTTTGAAAGCTTACCAGTCTACAGAAGTTTCATTTCGATGATTTTCTAGCTTCTTCTATACTGTGGATAGTTTCTAAGCACCACTTTCAAAACACTACAGGTTGGCAACATTCTGCATCTTAAGATGAAAAAAGAACATGATGCTTGATTTTTGCTAAAACAATAACAAATCGTCTGCTTATTTAATGTTTCTCAAAAGTCATGATTTCAGTACCTATTAACATGCTTTTACTGCTTAGGTTTGTTTTGAAGCAGAGGACTGAAAATTTTTCTAACTAAAAAAAGTGCTAATCTTGTTAAAAGTGTTTCTATAGCTTTGTTTCTGGCATATCAGAGCTATAAAGGGAATTTATTTATGTATAGACCTAAGGTGCAAAATTGAAATTGTCCACACTCATACCAACGCTTGTTTATTTATTTATTTATTTACTTACTCCGTTTATTTGTCTGTATGGACTTATGATTTTTTGGATTAGGGTAGACTTTATGGAAAGGATTTAAAGCGGCATCTAAAATTGTAAAACTTTTCTTGACTTTCATTCGATTTCGAGGTAATCAAGTAAAGTGTGGCTCATTTTAAACGCAGTTGAGGGCACTTGATCAAGCGCTCTAAACGGACCATCAAATTGATGATGCTGATTTGATTTTGCGAGTGTGAGTGATTTTTGATCAAATTTAGGTTATTTGGAAAGCGTGAGAAACGATTGGAGAGCTCTTTTCATACCAGCGACGAGCACTCGCAGTCATTCGATGGAATTGGTGGTGAGTTCATGCTGAGAAACTTATGGATTCGAATGAAATTCCTGGAATGAAAAACTTATTAAACAGAATGAAAGGGGTGCGTTGAGGAGGTTCTGAACCATTTCTGGATACAATTGAAAACTGAATAATAGTATTGATCGTATTCTATATATTCTCACTAGTGAAACAGCCGTTGAAAATCAATAGCAGGGAGCAGGATAACTGAATAGATATCTTATTTATATATTCCTAGACGTTCAAAAACTTAGAATCTCTTCATACCGAGCCAATTTTGTCTTCTTCTTTACACTTTTTTTGCCTTTGCAAGATTTTGCACCGCTGGAAACCGTCAGCGATTAGTGGCACGTAGCATTTCCGGCTAAATCTGAATTTCGTTTTCTTTCCAGAAAAAAAATTACTCTCCACAGAGTTCTATGTAACACTGTTTGGTGATTATTCCTGTTATCCTGTCGCCAATTGGCAAGTAGGTGAACGTCGATCGCAAACTTCTTTCACTTTTTAAAGTACTGGAATCAATTTTTTCTTCGTAAAGACAAAACGGCCATTATTCTTTCCTGGCCTTCTTTAGCAGGATTTTTTTTTCACATTTCATGCTTGAATGGTAACGAGATTCGCTCAAACGAATGAAACATCCATACGGGGGCTCATTCTGTTTTCATCTGCAGGTTTTTTTTTTACTAATGAAGGAGAGAAATAAAAAAGAGAATAACCGCAAATAGAGTGAATTTAATAGTGACTGATATATAAGTGATGAGAGCTCAACGTTTAGCACTATCCGTAACATCGACGGCAACGAATACCGTAACCTTTTCCTGTTGGGATCTGCACGGTGTTTCCCGATATCCTTCAGGCTTTTTAGCCATTTTAAGGGGATAGGATTCTTCCAGCAAGACTATTTCGGAATATTTGAGGAAAAATCCCTGTAGGATCTATGGGAAAGAGGTTTTTCCTTATGACGACGAATGTAAAAGAAATATTACTCCGCATTTAAGCCAAGTATGGTTCGGAAAGAAAAAAGCCGAACGCAAAACTTTTGGTAGTTCTAATTTAACGCAATCAATCCCCTTTATACGAATATATAGCAAATAAATGTAGTTTATGCAGTATAGTTAATCATATATGAAGGCATATAAATTAAGAAAAGCACGTTATGAAGAAAAGCAGTATTTTCATATACAACAACTGCAGTGACTCCAATGAACGCTTAAATATGTCCTGCAGTGTACATTGACAGTCGCTGGAGCGACCACGTGTCCTAGGGAATGACGGAACTCCTCCGTCCGTCCGGGATCGGCCAAACTAGTCTGGAAGGATAAAAACACTGAATTATGGCGTCGATAGGCTACTATTGGTCATTTTTTGGCCAGGCGTGCACTCAGTCAGCTCTGCGGTTCTTTATGAAGTCGGATGCATGACTTATTCCTCAGAGATTGATTATCGCCTAACGCTGTATACTTCAATGTGTCGTATTTCATTTATAGACTAGCACGAGGTTGTTGCCAAAATTTTATTTGACAAACGTTTTCACATCTTCAACTTTATCAGAGCAAGTGATCTCAGTAGACATTCCGCTGTCGTTCGTCTTCTCGATGTGGTGTTTTCGTCGTCGTATAGAGACGAATTTTCTTCAGTGGAGCGCCGCTTGAATGAGACAACCTCATCCGGCAGCGCTGTTTTGTACGGGACCCTTGTTCTTGATAATGTCTATCCATTGATGATATTTCTTTCAACTGATAATCCATTCTGCAGCAGTCGGTAGTAGATAAGTTTGCGCGTAACGAAGTAATATCATTGTACACAGACTTTCATTTAATCTCGGTGTGAACGATTATTGTACTTTAGGTCATTGGTAAGCTAACACTTTTGTAGATAGGCTTTAAACTTTCTTTAACCAGCAGTTTATAGCACTTGGGATAAATTAAATTATAAGAAGCGAAAAAGCAATGTCTTTTTGTATTTTTTTATTATTAGAGATAAAAATACGATACGCTTTGTTATTATTTCTAGGACGATCAGGAAAATCACCATCAACGACCAACGATAGTGGCCGAGGCAGTCAACAGCATTTGGATCAGGATCGAGTCGTCGGCGAAATCGTAGCCATCATCGAAAGGCCTAATGACGAAAACGAAGACGTTGTTAAACCCTACAGACGGATTCGTACAAGTATGTGGTGATGCTTACAGATGGAAAACTCTTCAGTATTCTTTATCTACTCAACTATGTTAGAATATAGTTTCTATGTAGTTGTCATAAGTTGGCAATCCACTTTTCTTGGATGACTGCTTTCGAAGAGCCTAATGTGGGCGACAGACAGTCTTTTTTTCCGATCAGAATGAAGTTTAGAGACACAATTTTTATTGATTGATGTAGTTTCTTTTTTTGACAATTTTTCAAGCGGTAGCCATTATAAATAAATGGCTTAAGAAATTGAAGTATGAAAGAAAAGAAAATTGAAGAAAAAACATGTTTACAATGGTCAGAGAACTCCAAAGAAAAATCCCTACAGGTGAAAAGAAGAAGTCTAGTAGAAAATTGTCACTGCAGGCTCTCCGGAAGGTCTCTTAGTTGATGCCTTAACTAGTCACTCCAATTTTTTTCTGGTCACTTAAAGATCCTTCACGAGGAACTGACATCTATCAAGATGGTGAAGTGAAACACTCGCATGGCATGAGTTTACCATGACGTTCGCTTATGTTGGCTTATTTCGATTTAGAAAGACGCTTAACCAAGACGAAAGAATTTAGAAAGACGCATAACCAAAAGTAATTTCGAAGACAAAATGGTCATTAACTTGCTGTTTTCTTGACAAGCACAGACGAGGCTGTCACTTTATTCTTTACTCACAAAAAACTGATGCTTCGGCGGATTTCGCCTTCTTCAGAGCCTGAGCAGACTGAACACAACCTAGTCAGCCAAACACCTTTGTAATCCAACAGAAAATCACTAAATCTAGATTTCAATCGCATTAGGAACAAAACAACTTCTTTTCACGCTCACCGCTTGCTATGAGTCTTCCACTGAGTAACTCATGTGAAGACCAACTGCACAGAGTTCATATGCAAGGATAATGTGTTTATCTTATATTAACACATCAGCCTGACGTATAGCGCGACGTCATACGTGATCACAAAGCACCTCCTTACGGTTCATTTTTGGGTTCCTGAAAACTATCTAGAGTGCCTTGGGAATTTCACGCGCCAATATTTTAGATTCTCGTGGAAGAATACTTACTTAGTTGGAGACTAAAACGGTCCGTCTTCACGAGCTGTGCGGACACCATCACATATGCCATTCGTTTCTTTCTCTCGCAATCGTAGTCTATGGTGGTGGTCTTGTTCGAGCATGGTAGCGCTTGCGAGTCTCATACCGTGACCTGTAAAACAACTGCAGCTGCGGGTACAGCTGATTAACTTTGTTTACGAACACGTCCGCCCAACGTGTAGGTTGTCGTCCAAGAGGACGTTTGCATTCTCTTGGAGTCCACTCTACTGTTCTTTCCGTCCATCTGTCGTCTGTTCTTCTCTTTATATGACCGGCCCATCTGTGTTTCGCTGTAGATGTATATTCTCCTGGATCTCGAAGATGCGACAGATTTCGAAGGTCGGAGCTTCACATTCCGGCTACAAATTGAGAGTACTGGTTATAATCACAATCTCAACTCTTTTATTTACTGCCTTTTTCTTCTTAATGGCAGGTTATGTTGCGAAATATAACTCGTATGAAATGCTGAGATATTTGCAAAACTCCGGACCACAGGTGTATGCAGTGGAGAACGATAGAGATCGATAGAAGTAGCTGAGATACGCGCAAAGCGAAGGACCCGGGTGGTGTAGTGGTGAAGTGCGCTGCTCCCCGGTAAGGACAACAGCGCGTGTTCGTTCTCCACTGCATACACCTGTGGTCCGGAGTTTTGCAAATATCTCAGCATTTCATACGAGTACCGGTTATATTTCAGAAGACATCGCTCAAGCGCTCTGTGAGTAGTGCGAAGCATTCTTCACGTAGTTGAAGTATCAACCCACGTCTCTGCAGCATAACAGAGCACTCGGAAGGCCGTAGAATCAAGGAGATGAGCGCAGATTTTCGAGTCCTACAGCTTATCGGCGCTTTCTTTGAGAGGTCCGAATGCGGCCCAAGCTGCTCTTCTTCTTCTTTTGTCTAGTTCCTCTTTCATGTTGTTTTCCATGTTTATTAATCGCCCAGGGTAAACGTACGAGGTGGTCTCTACAATGAGAGAGCCATTCAGTTCAATTTTTCGCCTTCGCACCATGGGTTTTTCATGAACTGGGTCTTCCTTCAATTTGTGCGAAGTGTGGCCTTTTTCCCCGCTTCGTTGAGCTCGTTGATCATCACCTTTGCTTCGCTAGTACTTCTTGAGAAGATGACAATGTCGTCGGCAAAACGAGGGTTTGGTAGGAATTTTCCTTCAATACGTATGCCATTCTCATCCCAATTGAGTGACTTCATTATCCACTGCAGTGCGGCACTGAACAGCTTTGGCGATATTGTGTCACCCTGTCGAACCCCTTTCCGATGAATATTGTAAGAGGTCGGTGGAAAAGCTATTTTTTTCGTAGTGCAGTTCCGATAACAGTCGGGCAGAGTCATTATGTAGAACGGGTCCACTCCTTGGTCGACGAGCGCTGATAGGATTGCATTCGTTTCGACACTGTCAAACGCTTCCTCGTAGTCGACAAAGGTTAGGACTAGAGGCAAGTGGTACTACCGACAAACTTCGATGACCCTGGAGACGGTTTGGATGTGGTCCATGCAACAAAATCCTTTTCGAAATCCTGCTTGCTCGACTGGTGGCGCCTCATCCAATGTCTTCGATATGCGCGAGAGAATAATCTTAGTGAAGAGCTTGTAGAGTACACTTAACAAGCATACGGAACGATAGTTACGAAGTTTCCTTCGGTCTCCATTCTTGGGCAGGATGACCGTGCAGGCGTTCTTGACTGGTCTAGGATTTTTTCTTTTCGAAGGTAGGCTTTCATATGATCTGCGAGAAGTACATGTAAATTGTCGCCTCCAGCTCTAAGGAAATCGGCAGTGATATTATTTGGTCTTGGAGCTGTGCCTCTTTCGGAGAAAGGTTGGTGTAGAACGTTTCCGCTATTAATTCAATATCATGGCGCGACGTTTTGACGATCTCATCTTCGTTCATCAGGCCTGAAAGCGGAACATTATAATCACACAAGTGTCGACGGCTTTTTTTCAGGCTGCTTATTTTCTCTGTTGCTTCCAGTATTTTCTGCTTGTACCGTTGTAGATCTCACTGCAAAGCTCTTCTGCAGCTGCCATTTATTACTAGCCATGTTAAACGTGTTGCAGTAGGATCTAGCTTCAGTATCCTTCTATTTTCGAGCAACTCCTTAGTAGTGAAGGAAATGCGATCTGATCTTCTTGCTTGAAGAACTGATTCGGCACAGCTTTTCAGTCCCTCGACAAGCAGCTCGTAGTCTTCGGTTGGGTCTTCTTTAATCTTCCAGTCACGTTTGGACAGGACTTCCTTCAGAATGTTCTCGTCGTATACAGCTAGACTTTTCCTCATGGTCGATGAAGAGAGCTTTTTTTTCCAGCTTGCGGCTGAATCGAATCTTAGCGCGAAGAAGGCGGTTATCGGAACCAGTACAGAATGACGGGACTGCCGATGTGTCAAGTAGACACCATCTTCTGTTTGTCAGAATATGGTCGATGTCCGCATGAATCATGCAGTTAGGAGACTCCTATGTCCAGCGGAGGCTTTCTTTCTTCTGGAAAAACGAGTTTCCATGGAAGAGACGTGCTACTGACAGGTGTCCTGCGAGACGGTTCCCATTCTCATTTTCTCCTAAGCCGAAATTTCCGATCCTGTACTTGCTCTCGTTGGTCTTTCCTGTTTTGGCTTTGAAGTCACCGAGAACAAATTTATGATATGCTTTATCATTACAGATGCCTTCCTCCAACTGAGAGTCGAACGCATATAATTCGTACTCATCAGTTGCGTCGGTCGGCGAGTAGCAGTTGATGATAGTGATCTTCTTATGATGCGACAGTTGAAGACGGAGGACGGCTATGGGAGGGGAAAGGATCACGTATGAGTCAACGAGATGGACAATGGACGAGTGGATGACAATGCTTGCGCCACCGACATTTCGTGACGGGACTTTTTCCCTATGTATGACAAGGGTCCAGTTGTTTAGGTGGAGTATGTCGGTTTCCTTGATTTTTGTTTCTTGTAATGCGTTCACATGATCTGTGGCTGCGATCTGTGGCTACAGGGAGGGCGTGAAGATCGGCGTTTGTGGAGAGTGTTTTGGTATTATACGTTCATAGTAAGAAACAATCTCCGTGGTGTGTCGTGCGTGTGTTCGTCAGGTCCGGTTCCAGTGACGTTCTCCGTAACCCGAGATTATCTGGCTCCTCACCGGTCGTCTCACCGCCTGACGTCATAGACGGGAGCACCCAGTGTGCAGGGTACTGAGCCTTGCCTATTGCTGGTCGTGCAACTTGGTCCTCCTTGGAGTCCTGACTCAACCTTGCAAGGGCGTGTCCAGGTCTTCACCGCGTTGTGGATCAGAGGGAGGTGTGTTTTCGGCGACGAATCCTTCGCTCGGTCTCCCTACTAATTGATTCGGAGAGATGTTAAAACCGAAATGAGAAACGAAAGTAGGAAAAAATAAAGAATGTGAAAGTAACTGGCCGCTCAAGGTCGATGTAGAAGCCGAATCGCTACATCATACATGATCACAGGGCACACCTTGCGGTTCATTTTTGGGTTCCTGGAAACTATCCAGAGTGCCTTGAGAGTTTCACACGCCAATGTTTTCGATTTTCGTGCGGGGATAATGACTTTTAGTCCAAAATTTCTCCCTAATGGTTCTGTCTCCTATGAGCACCTAGTAGAGTTTTGGTTACAACTTAAATTTGTCGAAAAAGAGTACTTTTAAGCGTAGGCAGAGTAGCCTACGCGTTTCGCCAACGTGTTTCTCTCCACATGTTTCACGAGAGATTAGGAACGCCGTTCCGAACTCATGCAGTCACCTTCTCTACCGATAGAGCATATTATACAATTTTTCGTTGTACATAGTTGATCGTATAGGCGGTCACGAACTAGCTGGTGTCTTAAAGTGTCCGATTGCATTTCTATTAATTCCACCGAATTTTTTTTAGAACGTTTCCTCCTAAGCAA